TAACACCTTTCAAATTTCAATGATCTCCAACTTGGTTGTTTTTTCCAATGCGTCACCAACGTTTCTTTTAATCATTGTCGTTGATTTTGCGTGTGTAGTAGTAGTAGCGGCGGCGGACGGATATGCGTGACGACTACAGGGTAACTATTTTTTTTCTGTACTTCTTCAACTAGGGTAGCATTCTTCTGGTATTTACGTCTTAATAACTTGATTTTCTACGTGCTTTCGTTGCTGTAGTTGTTAAGATTTATCAGGATTGGTTCGCGGATTGGGCGATGCCTAACCTTTTTCTCTTTTGTCGGAAGGCCTGAAAGAAATTTTGGTTTACCTTGCGAGTGGAAGAGCGAAAGCATGGTAAGTTCGATTGCGCATGCACCTCTCCAGTAAATCGTGACCTGCGCCCACCTCTTGATCCTGTACTCCCTGTGACCGCTTGCTGAGTCCTGGAAATGACTCGATAAACTGACCACCGGCCGCGCATAGACGTTAGGTTCGGGGCACGGGTCGGCAACACGTAGAGGCTATTTCAGTGGAGCGCGGCCACAACTAAACGCGATGACTGTCAGGGTCATGCCGCCGTAGCAGGCAGCCATACGGGATTGGGCAGTATGGTGAGGTCACGTACACGGATAAGAGGAGGCGTCACAGAGAAAGGTTAGTGGCAAAATATACACAAGAAAACGTCTGAAGAGCGAGCGAGGGGATGATTGTTTTTCGTTTCTTTTCTATCTGCATCTATGATAGGTTCTGGAGCCCAGACAAAAGTGGAGGTTCTCCCAGCAATGGGAGGGTAGGGTAGGGGCCGCGACGATCTGTTCTGGAAATACGAAGTGGTGAGTGATTGTTTCAATTGTTGCTTGCTTTTACTAAATACTCCAAGTATGGCTTGCTCTAACTTCTTTCTTTGATAGTCCTTTGGCTTGTCTGCAAATATTGCTTGTATCAACTATATATTGACGGGATGTCCTATTACCTAACGATATATTTTTCATACAAAATAAAAGACCAGGAATCATCCTCGTATCATAATGCTGTCTTTTTGTTGGTTTTCGTAATCGTCTTAATGAAAGTATATACTTTAAATACATGTTCATTAGATGAGTTTGTACTGATTACATAAGCAATGATGAGACGCTGATGTTATATACTGTACTGTAGAAAATTTGATTCACTTTAACATGTTGGTGGTCATGGCCAGCTTTATAGCTCCAATTACATTGTCATTTGAAGTCTATCAAAATGGCTTTTGTGTGTCCGACAGTTATGTACGCACGCATCTGGATCCAAAGAAATCCCCAATCTATATATGCGAAACAATGTACTTACTGTTGTATTACAATGACCGTACTAGATCAAGCAAAGAGTCAAGCTTGTGGTCGAATGCTAACGACATAAAGCAGTAATTAAATATGGTTCAACCGGGGAGCGAGTTCATGCATGGAAACAGTCGCTCTTTGCAAACGAGCTGCGGGTCTCAAAAAAAAGTCGAGCATTTCTACTGTAGAGTCTAATTCTATGACAGTTTTTGAACACACAACTCGAACAACGGGTTCCCAGTTATTCAAAAAGAGTTCCTGGCAGTTGCCAGAAAAAGTTTCTCTAAAGATATTTTCTGACGTGCCCAAAAAACTGATACATGCAACGGCTCTCACAAGAATTTTGACATTGTATTACATGGTCAGTGCATTATGCTTGTGTCAAACGGTTGCCTAGATATTATGTTTAGAATCGATCGAGTCATTGCAAAGTAAAAGTAATTACGAATCTAATGTGAGCCATTTGACATTGTCAGCATTGTATAAGAACAAGGACACAGCACGCCAAAACATGAGTTCTTTCCTAACTGTCAAATGAAGCGGCGAAGACGATTGAACACAGTCAGAAAGAAAATGGATATTGCAAGGTGAAGCGACACGCAAATATCTTCACAAGGAAAGAAATTGTAAATGAGTTTGAGCAGGACATAAAGTAAAAGAGCAGGTTTTTATTCATTGTAATATTAGAGTAAAGAAACATTTTATAAAAGACAAAAGTTATCGTTATGAATATCAATAGTCGAAGGGTACAAATTTTATTAAAAGAACACAATCAGTGGACAATAAAGACAAATAATAAGAACGCGATTTTACAAAGTGACCTCAACAAGCAGTTCGCACAACCCGTAGGCTATACAAAAAGCATGAAGAAAGCAAGAAGAAACAGAAGAAGTATGTAAAAGGGGGAGGAAAAGAAAGCCACCAATGCCTCGGCCTGGGAGTCCCAGTCTCCCACACATTTGGCTGGGTCAATCAACCACAAACCCAGCCATCATGGTACAAACGAGTGGGAACCATGACGTACACTACGTTTCGAGAGAGTCAAGTGCAAGCAATCGGTTGAGGATTGCCTGTGAGTGGGGAAGGGGGAAGGGAAGGACGGAAGGGAAGAGGAAAGGGAAGGGGTGGGGGAAGAGGAAAGGGAAGGGGTGGGGGTAGGGGAAGGAATTGACTCTCGAAACACCCAAAAAAGAAAAAGAAAAAAAATTGCTGCTGTTGTCGAATGCTGGAGGAGCTGCTTACTGGATACTCGGATGCTGGGAGCCGAACACTGAAGCTGGGAGCTGATTGCCGAGTGTCGATTGCCGAGAGTCGAATGCCGAGAGTCGAATGCCGAGAGTCGAACGCGATTTACGGTGGCACCTGGCTCCTCATGCGAGCCCCACCATGGCAGACCAGACCAGACCAGCAGACAAGGCATCCAACCGAAAGGACACTACCATATTTCTATGGCGAAAAACCGAAAAGGATTTCTCCGTCCTCTGATCTCGCCTGAAGACCGGTTGTGACCAACACCGTTGAACGCCAGACTAGACAGCCCAAGCAGGGACCGGTTGTAGGCAGCCAGGGGGACCACGGGAAAAAGGCTGAGACCAAGACCGACAGAGGCAAGACCAGGACCAAGGGAAGAGCCAGAGCGAGGGGAAGACCAGAACCAAGGGAAGAGCCAAGAGAAAGACCAGGAGGATCCAAGGGAGTGAAGGGAAAAGAAAAGTGAAGGAAAGAAAGAGTGAAGAGAAAAAGGGAATGGCCTGGAAAAATGTGGGCGTATTTACATTTTTTGAACTCAAACCCCTGTCTTAAAAAAACACGTCACGTGACTTGTGATTCGTCATTCAAAAACATGTGAGAAAGCAAAGGGTAGGGAAGAAAAAAACATGTGCAGAAGAGACATGGTCAAGCGGTCAAGCGGTCAAGCGGTCAAGAAGAAGGCGTGTGTGATTTGCGTGTATTATTGTCCTACGAAGGTTTCCACCGGTATCATGCAGGGCGTGTCCCGACAACGTCGCCGCTTGTTTTCCAATAGGAAGGTACGTGCACCCCGTCAAGCCAGAAGGTGCACAGACACGGTTTACAGGGTCTCAGCAACAAGATCCCAGAGAAAAAATAAATGACAGGTGCCGGGAATGGTTGACATTGTAAACAATAAAAATTACTGATATTGCAACAAGAAGCTCACATAAATAGAAGCCATATACACTAAGAAATAATGGCGCAGAAGTTGATGACACGCGTGATCCAAAGCAAAGTGTATACCAAGGACAAGTGGTGAAGTTCGGTAACGGTAGAATGAAAATGACGTCGAGTGTCTTTGAAGCCTTCTCTTTGTTAGCAGCCTTTTGCAAATAAACCTGGGTTAGTGCTGGCTGCCTCATACTGAATGTCGACTCCATTGTTCCCGAATCTCAACACTGTTCAATATCACTTTGCCGACGATCTCACAGTGCAACTGTCTCCATTGTGCAATCAGAAACAAGGTTGACGAGTCTCGCTCGCATACGGTTTCCGTTTGTTTGCGTAAATCTTTAATCGTGAGATTCTGTAATGCCTCTAGAAGAGAAAGAGAGGACAAATCTAACCACAAATGCTCTTGTTTAAGAAGCAGCTAAACGATTTTAACGGTACCAATTTAAACCAGATAAAGCCGTAGCGTAAGTGTACACATACACATCTTACCATACTCACAAAATAGCTATGGATATAATTGCATGTATAAAGAGGTAAGGACCATATAAACTGTCATCTGTCTGCCAGTGATACTACGTACTGTTGCATCACGTTATACACTCAAATCATGATTCTGGCATCCCCAGTTTTTATTGCACCAAAAAAGACCGAGTGCTCTTAAAAATGCTGTATACATTGTAATATTGTTTACTACGTGCACTAGATGCATTCTACATGGATATGTATACAAACAATAGAAGTCGAATCATTACAACACACTTTCATCAACAGCTGGGATAAGAAGAGTAATTGAATCACTTAATGAATTGCAAAAGCTTCCATCGCTGCTTTTATCATGTACTGGTTTATTTTTTAATAATTAACAAGCAACTTCTTGGAAGACTGTGTTTGGATATATAACTGAGTGACGATGGAAACAACGGTTACATGCTGTAATTTCACGGTCCAACAGCTAATTAATTTATAATCACATCGTTGGATACTCAGGCAAGAGACTAGGATGTAAATGATCATCTGTTATGAAATTGTTAGGCGAGAAAAAAATGTAATTATTCGAATTATGATTAAAGCTTTGCACACCTGGAATATATAAAGTGACAAAATAACGGTAACAGTTAACAAGATTGAGTTAGCTTGATGCGTGCCGCCGGCGTAATAATTGCTGCTATAAAAGTTCCAGATCAAATAAAGGTGCCACGAACGATTTGACGATTCTGTTGCCTCGTTAATAATATAAATTAGAAAGCTAGAATACATGTTCATGCTGATTGTATACCAATTTGCCTGTGCCCGTCTACAGCAGGTTACTAGGTAGATACTGTAGAACAGTGGCTGTTTCTGCTTACATTTATTCTTTAGAAGGTTATTACTGATTTGTCATAGTGATTATAAAAGGTGCTGATCGATTACAATATACGTGTATTGGCATTCATTTATTAGTTTTTGATGCATTAGACTTTTGCATAATTCATTTCTTTTAACGATCAGTATCGTCTGCTCAAAGCGATCGGGCTCGCCAAAGTAGAAGAATCGTCTGTTCACGAAAAGCGCAGCTTTCTCTCTAGTGCTGGTTGCCTAATTTGTCCCACTTTGGTTAAATTTCAGTAACACAATCTTTTCTTTAGCGCAACACACTTTTCGCATAACAATAAAATGGACACTGCATCGGACAAGATCATTTCTAAAATACGAATGCTTACGCAAATACGATTAAAGTAAGTAGAAAGAACTAGCTGTTAAACATGTATGTGGACAAGTCATGGTGCCTTTGATTTAAAACAACAACACTCATACTTTCGCATTGATCGCTATAACAATAAACAGAAAAGGATACACGTCTTCACCCGACCTCGAATCGAAATTCTTACCAAACGCATTTATTCCAATTGATCAACTCGAAAGTCACGCCGCGAAATTCAGCTCGATTCAAGTGGGCAAAAAGCCAAGCGACGACTGGTGTACCGTAGGCGTTATTGATCGACTCAAAGTGCAAGAAGACAACAAAAAATTCTGTGTGGCACGCATAAGCAACATGTGCGGTTCCTATTTCCACCTATTTATCTTTGGCAAAGCATACGCGAAATATAAAAAAGATCTTGAGGTGGCACGTGTCGTTGGCGTTTTTAAACCCAAGGTTGCCCGGTCTTCGGATGTCAAAGCAGATGTCGCGGTCTCCGTTGACAGCAAGGACCAGCTGCTCATGATCGGTGAAAGCGAGGATTTGATACAGTGCTCACACATGATCTTGAAGAATAAACAGTGTCAAGTCATGCTGGATGGCCGGTCAGGGACCTTATGCGATCATCATATCGCAATGGCTTGTAAATCATCCAAGAATACGCGCATGGAGCTTGCGTCAGGGTACGTTAGACGAGAGGGGTGGGGGTGGCGGGTTATTTTCACGTAGTGTTGGGGAGTCGTGTGCGTTATACTTCTTTCGTTCTGTCTAGGGAGGTACTGAAGATCGCTTTGATGAAATGTATACTTTCATATGTTTCCATATGCTAACAAGCAAATTGTTATATATACACACCGGGATGGGATCTGCGAATTGTTTTGATTTATCCATTTTGTAGTGACAGCGCTCTTGAGGTTCGGTGGGCAAAGGTATCGTCGTCAGGACCGGGAGGAAGCATATACCAAACGACACGAACCGAAAAGAAACACGACAGAGAATACACATATATATTTGACGGTCGAGCACCCATTACGTCTGAAGGCAAAGAGCTGCGCGTAAAGAACCCAAAAACATATGCCAACGATTTGAGAAAGAAGCAGGAACTTGCGTAAGTATCATGCTCCCGTTTTCTTTTCTTCGAGATGCGTGTTTCGCATTAAAATTTGCCATATCACGGTGATGGTGATAATGATGATTGTGTTGTTCATCGCCAACTTTTGCTTTGTCCATCATCTTTTTACAGGGATATGCTGAAGGGAAGGAATGATGTTGGTGCCCAGATGCTGCGCAAAATCAACGGAATAGAGGAGGAAAAGAAACCATCCACAAGTATGAAAACACGAGACCTGTCATTTCATCTGTTTGCCTCTTCTGATTGCTAGGGTGATTATCACTGCCATGTTACTCATTACCATCCAAATTTGATTTGTCTGTTCTAGATGCCCTATCACGAGAAGCTATGCTGCAGCTCGGATACAGCCGTGCGGAAGTACTGTCGCAGGAGGAATCGAACAAGAAGGTAAAGCAGGCAGCTGGCGATGACACTATGTGCTAGCAGTATAATATTGGTACAGAGGACAAAAAACACTGAATAAGTGAGTTTATTATTGATGTAGAGGAAAGCGATTGATGCGCTTCTTCAGATGGATGGAGCAAGAGCTTCGAATAGCAAGAAGCCCAGATATGTAGAGCTCTAGTCGATACGGAAATTCCACACACGCTCAGACACCCGCACCTAATGAACAATGAGGGGCTTTTTCTGCTCATTATATATATACCAAGCGTCTTCTCTCTTTTACTTTCTCCATCTCTTGTTTTTCTCCTTTTCCTTCATTTTTCTGTATACATCCCACAAAAGCTACAACAGCAACCCCATAAAAAAATAAAACAAAGCATGGAGCATCGTTCATACTCTGTACCACCAACAACATCCCTGGCCATGCAAGCATCCATCGACGTGCCTGCCCCCTCTCTGCCTGTGCCTCTTATGCTGGAAATTCGTGACGCACTGCCGGCATTAGAAAAGGCAATCGCACCGGAGCTTTCTGCCCAGTGTCTTCCGCTATGTATGCAGCTTTTGTCCACCTGGGTCCTGGTGTCGAGCAACGGCTCACAATGTCAAGAGCAAGAAAAGTCCGGTCCCCCACGATCAATGACACGATCCAAATTGTCGCGATGGTTCACTCAATCGTTTGCTCGAAAGAAAGGCGTTGCGCCAATGACTGAAAAAGATATTTCCGAGGGCCATCAACTTATTAGCCATAATACTGACTATTATGACGACAGTGACGACGACAGTGACGACGACAGCGACGACGACAGCGAAGACGAAGAAGAAGAGCCTCAACACATGACTGACGTTGATCTCGATACTGAAGACGAATATAAAGACTCGTCCACAACAGAGAGCTCGCACTCCGACGACGACGACGACGAAGAAGAAGACAAAGAAAAAGAAGGACACGACGACGGCACAATCGCGTCAGGATACCCTTACAACAACAGCAACACTGGCTCAGCAACAACTGCTGATGATGGAAAACAACACTATGCACAGCACCTGACACACTCTGTAACGAAGCGCAGCATATCCAATTTTCTGAACCGACTGGGCGTGTCTGTACGCAAAGCCATCGTTGGCAAACAACAACCAGAAAAACTAGCATTGCCTAGCCCTGTGTTGGAACAACGCAACAGCAACAGCAACAAAATCAAACGCCCGCACAACTGGGACGACGAGACTATATGGGTGCCACGCGATCCTGTCAACTCTGACCGCGACAGTCCTCCTCTGAGCGATACAATTTCCCTCGAGTCAGCATCTGAAGCCCTCGCCGCCAACCCCACCATTACCGCCGTCAAAAAAAGAAATGCTATGCTCCATATAGAAAAACAACGTAAGCGACAACAGCAGCACCAGCTGCAACAGATTGAAAGCAACACACGAAAAAAAAAGGCGACCGTCCGAGCAAGCAAGACCGACATGGATGTGAGCCGTGAAGAATCAGTGCCATTTATCAAAATGGGGATCGGCCGCCAGCGACTTGAGCGACCCGTCAGTGTCGACGTTGAGGATGCTCAGCAATACCGGCTCTCGTCCACATCGTTTGATCTGCGGTGGCAAGAGCGATTCCATGAGCAGCAGCATGGCAAAATCGATACAACAATGAAGAGGTAAGTAGAAACAAAACTCTTTTATTCATCGATCATGTACTACTTCTTTCATCATCTAAAACCAACATGTTTTCTTTGCTCATGGTGCACTTTATCATGTATCAACAGTGTGTCAATCGCTTTTTACGAAATCATTGCACATAATCATGCATTTGGCCTGTTTGACTATGACGATGCATTCACCGGCAGCCCCTTGCTAGAACCTGACAGCGGCACGGACGCCATGCAAGAGTTATTCATGCCCCAGCCTGTGACTTCCTGGAGAGACATCTACGAGCAGATGGCCTATGTTTTTGAATGTGGCGATGTTAGTGTAAACAATACATTTTTTTCTCTCCATCTAGTTATCGATTTCTATCTAATCAACATATTCCCTGTCTCTCTCTTTGTGTGTGTGCTTGCTATTGCATGATTGGAATGCTAATAATATTTATTCTATTCTTAGCTAACGTCAGAACACGCTATCATCACCTACATTTACGTGATCCGCATGCTGGAGACATCAGACCAAAGTCTTTGCGACGCCAACTGGCGCCTGGTTCTTTTAGCCGCCATGCTACTTGCTGTCAAAGTCTGGGACGATTGTGCCGTTTACAACTATGACTTTGTTCAAATATTCCCCGAACTCGATATCCGAGTCATGTAAGTTGCTGCTGTTGTTCTTTTATCAACCATTTCAGTTCTGGACTGGATTGACCTCTCTTTCTCTCTCTCTCTCTGTGTGTGTGTTTTTCCTTGATAGTAATATGATCGAGCGCCGCTTCATGATGGCCATGAACTGGGATGTGTCTTGCACGTGTTCTTATTTCGCCAGAACCTACTTTGATCTGCGCTCACTCGTCAGTACCAGAATAACCCCACCTTAAAGCCAAACGTAGCTGTAGAGTATATACCCCCACCACCACATCTTTCTTTTCACTTATTAATCGCTTTCTTTCACCTGTTGCCATCTTCCTCACCATCGCTTTGCTGTTATTGTTCGCATACATGATCAAAAATAACCCCGTAACTACCCAATAATGTCCACTACTACCCTTATAATGCTCTTTAATCAATCACTTGCCTGTAAATATACTAATAATAAATCAATCACCAAAAGATCCTTCTATACTTATCGGCTCCGCTCTTATTTTATCAATTGCATAGATGCACGTTCCTATGAAAACGCACCATTCTCTCGCTCTTTTAACAACAAACAGTGTGGTTGACAAGCCCTGAAGTTCTCGCACATATATCACATCTAGTAGCAATGCTTATATTCTCCCTGCCGATTACTGCTAACTGCTTACTGCTTACTGCTTACTGCTTAGCATAGTAGGGTTACACCTCTATTTTTTTGGTTCCTGAACCAGCTCCTTTAATTAGTCAAAGAATACAGTAAGGAAATTTACAAGAGAAGATTGCGTGACAGAGGAAAGACAAATGTATAAAAGCCAAGGTAGCCAAGTAGATAGGGAGGGGAGGGGGGAGGGGGGCGATGTGGAAAATAAAGTGAGCAATGAACTTTTGTGTTGTTGTTTTCTACTACAACTACTACAAGGTTGTTGGGGTTGTGATGGGATGGGATGGGGAAGGGTGGAGGCTATTGCGTCGAGTGTTGTGGTGTTGCATTTGTGAAATAGAAAGATACGAGTAATTATAATGAAGGTGATAATGGATGCCATAAATTATAAAAGAGAGAGAGAGAGAGAGCGGGAAAATTTACACGTTGGAGTTGGTTGTTTCGAAAGTTTCCTGTAGTTTTTTTTTTTTGGTTCTTCTTTAAGGCCACCGTAAAATCTCTGGAATGACCACATCATCCCATCCACCACACACTGCCTGATCTTCTGGCTTCGCGCAGATATCCTGGACCGTCGTATGCGACCACACATCCAGCACGCGGATCGTGTTGCTGATGATGTTGTTCACATAGGCCATGATGTCGGCATCGGTCAATAAGGAGCCAGCTCCATAGCGAATCATGGTGGAATGAACGGCTTGTTTCATGTTGGGTGCCAAGTTCTGGAATAGTAGACCGCTGCCGAACTGTGTCTGTTCCTTCAAGTGAGCACGGAGGTAGACGACTATCCGGCCCTTGATCTTGTAAAACAGGGTTAAAAGAGCCAAAGTGAGCCTACTACTACTACTACTACTACTACTACCAGTACTCATATCTTTTTTTTGCCAAGGCTAAGGCTTCTTACCATGTCCAGGAAATGACAAATCGACGGCGGGTTTCCGCAAATGTAATCCATCTTGGCACCTATCAAAGCATTTCCCAGTGGTTTTAATAATCTTTCAAACATGTCAAAATAAAACAACATCCCCAATCTGTCCAGTAACAACTCTCCAACCCTTACATTCTTCTCGGGTCCATTCTTCGTCCTCTTTGGGCTTTTTTCTATCAAGTCGCTTTGGATTGTTGCAGTCACCCTTGAACGGCTCGTCGCCCGAGAATATGGTCTGATGGATGCCTTCCTGGAGAATATCCCCCGTGGACTGCATTGTAAAGTCGTCTAGGCCGTCTTGGACGGTATTCCGGATGCCGTCCTGCAGTTCTTTTTCCGGAACAACGTCTAACAGTTTGCTGGGTATGGTGATATTGTAGAGATTGGTGTTTAAAGCTTCATGCAGGTCGGTGACGGCTAAATGAATGACGGGAATGTATCGATCTGCAAAGGCTTGTGAGATTGCGTGCCTGCAAAGGGGCTCGCATGCGGACGCAAGAGATACAAGAAAGGTCAATGTTATGAGTCTCTTGAACATCCTTAATGACAGTTGTTGTGGTGCGTGTATAAATGAGAGTGGGGGTTTTTTTTTATCTATGGAAAAGGCTAAAATAAAAAATAAGTAAAAAAGAGAGGAGAAAAGTAAAAGGTAAGAGAAAAAGAAGAAAAAGGATAGGATAATTTTTCCCTCTTTTGAGGATATTACTCCATAAATGGAATATCTATTTATTGGCAAAAAAACGAGTGTCACGAGCATGTGTTGCCAGCCGCTTTTGTAGATCTCCCACAAAAGCCTATATTTATTTAACGTCTCTTTATATACAATTTATTCTGTCTCTATGCCACGTATCCTACGTCTCTCTCTTCCTCTCTCTCTCTCTCTCTATCCCTGTCTTTCTTGCCATCAGCGTCTTCGTCGTCATCGTCGTCTTGTCGTCATCCATTATTTTGGGAACACCCCGAAAAGACGGGTTCGAGAACCAGCGGGTAATAGCACCTGTCCCCGGGGCGATAAATAGTGTGAACCCAAGCGGGGTCTACTTGATATCTATATTTAAGCGTAACACGAAGCCAGTTTTGTCCATATTTTGCTGTTTGGCTCTTTTTCATCCAATTTGCTCGTGTCACTGTGCCACATTAAGGCCCTTCCTTGTGTGCTTTGTACATATTTTGACGACACTGTTCATCGCCTGTTGCTATTGCTATTGCCATGGTTGCTCATGGATATCCGTTCGTTTCGCTTGGTTTCGAGATTAGCTTCAAGATAGGCCTTCATTTCTAGACCAGTGATAAAGTCTGTTAGTTTCCAGCAAAAGGGGAATGGAAATTTGAGAAGGCCCTGTGTGTTTTTTTTAAACACAATAGACACAGAAAAAATAAAGAGGAAAGGGTCGAGAATCTCCCCTCTCTTTCCACCGTAAAAAAAGAATTGCCTTACCGCTGCATCCCATATCCGAAGAAAAAATCAGAATGCCCCGCCCCCGCTCAGAGTGTGCCAGTCTCTGACCATCCTCCTGAGTGGCCACCACCAGCACCGGCAATATCCCCCACCACCGTTCTGGCTCAAGCTTTGCCATGCAACCAGTCCATTGCTGGGCAACCGCGTGCTTGTCCACGCGAGGCCCGAACGTCAACAGCCTGTTTCCCAGAATAAGGTTTGGTGACCATGGTAACCTCCTTGCTGCTGCTGCTGCTGTTCCTGCCATTGTGTGCTGTTTATGCAGGGCACGTGCAAACTCTTCTCTCAAACCACCTCTTTTTTTATGCATCGCTGTTGCTTCGTTTGCTGCCGCTTGTTTCTGTGTCATATCTTGTACCGCCTGCATATCCGAAGTCGCCACATCAATATCGAGCTGTTTGCATAATCCAAGCAACGAAGCTGCCGTTTGCCATTCGTTGTTGTTTGTTGAACTTTCAAAAGTGCTCACAATACGTGTCTTGCGCGCCTTTTTGCCATAAAACTCGAGTTGTACACTCTGTTCCTTCTTTAACTTCTTTTCGCGCTGTTCGTTCTTTAAAAGCGGATTCAAGATTGTGTACAGCTGTTGCAACGAGGCGGCATTACGTTTGCCCTTGAGTGGATCGCCGTGGAAAAAATCGGGGTGGGTCTGAAGGACTAGTTTCTTTAAATAAGGTTTTACAAGGGCGGCCACTGCTGTCATAATTTTTTGGTACCGTCAAGGTATAAGAGAACAATAATGTGCGTGCTGTAGTAGCAGTAGTAGTAGTAGTGGCCCGTAACAAAAAAAAATACCACAAAGCGTGACGCTCTTTTCCCCCAATACGAACGGATTTTCACGCGTGCATACCCAATTTTCCACACCGTGGACCCAATTTTTTTTTTTTTGACAAGGGCTTATTCTTGAGCTGGAACCCGGAATGAGCGAGATCAGCAGTTACCAGGCGAATCTCAAACAAGCCCTGCTGGCAGGTGCCATGGCCGGAACAGCGGTCGATACTGCACTGTTTCCGCTGGGTAAATACATTGTTTCTCGAGTGTTGCCATGGCGGATCTATTGACAGGTATTATGTATGTTTTTTTTCATATACTATGTAGATACCATCAAGACACGACTGCAATCACAAGCTGGCTTCATGGCTTCCGGAGGATTTCGTGGTGTGTACTCGGGATTGCTCTCAGCTGTCATTGGAAGTGCACCGAGTGGTAAGAAAGAAAACCTTTCTTGTACAAAAAATTGAAGGGTGAAGGAAACCAGTAAAGCTAATATGGCCAGGGTGTTGTTCTAGCTTCCCTCTTCTTCGTCACATATGAAGCCACAAAACGATTACTTGGTGCCGGCGTAGATAATAATACCAACAATACTCACTTTATCCACATGGCAGCTGCGTCGTTCGGTGAGATTGTAAGTTAACTACTACTCACTTTTGTGAGTAAGCATGTATCTCTTTGACGTAAAAAGTGAGTGAACCATAAGCTAATAGAAATGTGGAATTCATTGATAGTCTGCTTGTACTGTACGCGTGCCAACCGAAGTGATCAAACAACGGATGCAGACAAAACAATTCGCCACGACATCAGCAGCGGTCAAGAACGTGTTAAAGACAGAAGGCATCCTTGGCTTTTACCGTGGATTCTTATCGACCGTCGCACGCGAAATCCCATTCACCTGCATACAATTCCCTCTGTACGAATACTTTAAACGCGCATATTCCGAGCACAGGGGTAGACGGATAGAACCGTATGAGGCTGCCTTGTGGGGCTCTGTTGCTGGTGGCATTGCTGCTGCGGTGACAACGCCGCTTGACGTGTGCAAAACTCGCATCATGCTCTTAAGCAAGGTAATAGGGGAAAGAATCGGGTACTTTTATTTTTTTTTTGTTTGGATGGCTCGATTCACTCTTTATTTTCGAATATGACACCACAGAGTCAGGCAACAACAGAAAACATTGGCGTGGTATCGACGTTTAGACGGATCGTTGCTGAAGAAGGACCTCGGGTGCTTTTGTCGGGTATTGGGCCGCGGGTGATGTGGATCTCCATTGGTGGTAGTATATTCCTTGGCATGTACGAAAAAGCTGTAAAAAGTCTCTGTGAACTACAAGTCTTAGATGATCGACGATAGAAAACGAAAAGCAAAAGGCAAAAACAATAGAAAAAAGATGAAAAACGATTACTGATATACTATTATTAATATTGCTATTTTAATAATGTTTTTTTATGTTATGAGAAAGATGAAAGACAAACTTTTTACTTGTGTACATAAATCGATGGTTGTATGATGGATTGGAGGAAAGCGCGAAGAAGAAGGAAAGAGAAAGAGAGAAAGAGGATGTGTGTGTGTGTGTGTGCATGAAGTGTATGGAATTTAAAGATGTATAATATAAATAGGGTGGTGGTCTATTGTTGCTGTTGCTGTTGCTGTTGTTACACATGGATGAATGCACGCTTCTTGCTATCGTCTGAAGTGCTTGGAGGTTCATCAAAAAAGTCGGCCGTGTTACGTGCCTCCCAGTCTCGTCGCAGATAGGTCAACGCTGCTCGGTTATAGCCCATGATATCCTTTTGCTTCTGCAAGCTTGCCCGCAAGTGGTGGCGGATCGAGTCCAGCATAGGTCGCATGATGCGATTGGCAACAATTTGGTTGTGATGCATTTTGATCAGCGAAAACAGAATCCGCGAGGTTAATATCAGGTTCCAGTTCTATCAAGTTACAAGAAGAAATTGCGTTAGTGCAACCTTGAAGAAGAGATGTAGCCGATGAATCATCCACATTTTACCTTTTTGGCCCAGCTGTCAATGTAGGAGAGCAAAGATGTGACCTTGGAGAATGGCAACACCAGCAAGGCTTCTTCCAAATCATTGGCCCTGATCTTTTCGATAGTGTTGAGCACGTACTTTTCCGGTGTCAGGTCACCCATGGCCATCAGGATGGGATTACGCTGTGGTGGTTCGGCGGGTAAGCCCTTTGCCTTGGCCGCCTCATACGCTTCCCATCCTTGTTTTTCCTCATCGGCAATTTCAAGAGCTTCGATGATCCGCTCACCAGCCTTCAGAGTCTCCATGGTTTGCTTGCCTGCAACGTCCACCTCTGTATCGTTCACATCAACCTTTTCCATTTGGCTAACCAACGTGGACTCGTACATCTCTTCCAGTTCCTTTTCACGCTCTTCTTCCAAAAAGAGCTACACGAGAGAGAGAGAGAGAGAGAGAGGATACACCATGAGTTGATAACGTCCTGCTCCCTCTAGTTATTACAAAGTGACATTCTTACCTGTTCATCGGTTCTTTCCCAAATACGGATAGATCGATCATGCGACGCTGTCACTACGATACCACCCTGTCTTGATACTGCCAATGCCCAGATCTCACCATGATGGCCTGGAAGCTTCATGATATTCTCAAACTATACATGACCACATGCCAACATTTAGAAACCTTCTTCAAAAGGACCCAACATGAATAGGCTACGGGTAGACAAAAAAACAAATACCTTATCACCATCCCAGTATTTGACCATTTTGTCCTTGCTAACAGTAAAGAAATAATGGCTGCCCCATACGAACTGGATACCCGTAATATTTTCTTGATGAGCAAATATAGACTTGTGACAATCACCGAAATCAAGACCCCAAATTTTGACGTTCTTGTCAGCAGAGGCCGTGGCTATCAGGGTATTGTCGGATGAAATATCCATCGACAAGACAGGAAGCTAGAAGAACACCACGTCAGTTATACGTATTCCTTTCGATAAACCATTGTTGCTGATATGATTATACAAACCTTGTGACCATAGAGCGACAAGAAGAATTTGAGAGTGTCGTGATAAAACACTTTCACAGTGCTGTCCAGAAGAGACACAGCGAGAATATTTTGATCCGGACTGTAGCGAACGCACAATACTTCATCCGATAGCTTCAATGTACGCATATGCACAAACGTGGGGTAGCTTGTGGGCTAAGTATCCATATTCATTAGAGAGAAATGGGGGAGGGTTAGCATTTGTGCTGTGTCCGAGTAAGCATTTCTTTCATTTCTTTGGATACACGGTTTACCTTTTCTTCGTCAATCTTGAAGTCCCAGAACTTGGCTTCCTTATCAGCGCCGCCCGTGGCAAAGCCTCGCTTGTCGGGACGCATGTGTAACGAATAGATCGAACCAGCATGAGCAGCCACAGAATATACCATGGATGACGATGCAATATCAAATAACTCAAGCTCGCCTGATTTGGTACCAACAACAACCTACAAACATATTAATCAGCATAAAAAATAGAAAAGACTATCATGTAGGGATTAAGACTTACATGACGATCACCGGGAAGGAAGGAGCAGCATAAAGCATAGCCACAATCCATCGAGCGAATACACGATCGAGTTTTGACGTTCCAAATCTTTAGAATGTCTATAGATCGCATATAAGAAAACGCGAATCAGCAACTCGCCTCTCTCTCTCTCTCTCTCTCTCTCTCTATGATCTTTTATAGACCCTCTTTCTTTCAAGCGTGTGTACTCACTGTGTGAAGCAGAGACGAGCAAGTCATCATTTGCGCTAAGCGCTACTGCGCGAACGTCTGATCGATGGCCAGGCAGATCAATGCTCGATAATCGACTTGGTTCTTCAACATCGTCCGACTTCTTTTCGGCGGGTAAGGGGGCGTTATACACTTCCACCATGTTGTCGTTTAGCGAAACAACCATCTAGCAGAAAAAAAATTCCAAAAGTAGACGAGTGAGTGATTACTACAATCACACACATACTATCACTTCTTTCGTTCTTTTTACCTGAATATGACCCGCTTTCTGTACATCCTTCACCGGAGCAAAGTCAAAACTTCGAATCTTGCTTTGAGCACGAACAATTGTATAGCTGTTGAACTCATCCTCTGCCTGGATTTCATCGCTAATTTCGACTTCTTTTCCCTTCTCCTTTGCACGCTTTTTCCGTCGCTGAATCTTTTTACGGATCTGCTCATGATCCCGAATCTGGTACAGCTCGACCGCCTTATCCGCAGCCTGCACACCAACAAACTTGCCAGACGGATGGAATCGAATCGTGACTATACGATCGCGCGAGTTCCGTGGGATGTTGCCATAGGCTTTAATTGCTCTTTTCAACGAATCTGCCTCGTCTGCTTGGTGAGCTTCTTGATCAATTTCCATGTCATCCAACGACTTTTCCAGCACATCCCAGTCGATCTTCCAAGCCTTGAGCATCGGCTCAGCACCGCCGGAAATAATGACTGATTGCTGAGGATCCACGTCAAGCGACCAAACTTCTGTTCGATGACCCACTACCGTCTCACGACAAAACTGGCTCGACAAATCCCACAGTTTTAAAAGGGTATCCTTGGATGCCGACAGCAGGTATCCTTCGTCGGCAGGTCGTTCTGGGTTCTTTAGGAATTTCAGACACGTCAGTTGTTCCTTGTGTCCTTTCAGTCGATACATGCCCGTTTCTGCAACAACGTCCCACACGATGATGTCCGTGTCGCGCGAACCCGAGGCAAGTCGTGTACCGTCGTCGTTGAATGCGAGTGTCGTTACTGCACCACGGTGACCGCTCAGGGTTACTGTGGATGTAGAAGCATCGATCTTCCATAGTCGAACCATTCCATCGGCATAGCTGTTAATTATTGTTATTTTTAGCTTTTATTTGGACAAGTCAAGAGAAAGGTAAAGTGGCTACTGTCCTTGTATAAACTTACCCGACCGCATAATCACGATTGTTGGGACTTTTGGCAATGCTTGTCACTTGAGCATTATTGCCAGACTCTTTCCATTTGCCGACCTAGTTTTGAGACAGCATTTTAATAAATATTGAAGTAGACGGATCGATCGAGTTCCCCTTTTCGGTATCAATAGATAGATCTACCTGAGTTCCCTTTTTCAGATCCCAAAGCACCACGTCTTCCAAAGCCGGCGTCAAGGCTAATTTGCCGGTATGATCGTAGGTAATATTCGACTGCGTCGAGGCGATTACGCCAAAACTAGCAAGCGGCTCGTAACGAAGATATGCCTTGACCATAGCCGAATCCAGTCAAATATGTTTGGAAAAAAAAAACTTGGCTCTTTGAAGTTTTGCATTTTTTTTTTCTTGCGTGAAGTCAAAAATGGGTTTGCGAGTCACATGCAAAAAAGCGAGTGGGGGGGAAAAGAGGGGGGGGGGGGGAGAGAGAGAGTGAACTGACATGGCTGTAATTCAAAATACTGCTCAGGCAACTTTTTGGGTGGGGATAAGATATAGCCAAAGATGTGAACGGACCTGCTGCCAGCATCTTTTTTGTTTTTTCTTTCACTTTCTTTCTCGTTCTTTTATTTTTCTGCAAGACACAATGGACGTGATTACCGAGTACATTGACTTTTCTCAGCCAACCCTCTACTATATCCTCGCTCATATCTTCTTCAACCCTCTGTTCTGGAACACGGTTGCTCGTGCAGGTAAAAAGAGATATAGAATAGCACGTGTCTCGCTCCCCCCCCCTTCTCCTTTCTTCAAGAGGTTCCTTCCTAACTCGCGCGTGATTTTCATCTGTCAAAAATATAAAAGAATATCGCTCCCATATCCTCACCAAGTTGGCTGGTGGTAATGCTTACTATGGATGCTATGCTCTTGCCGTGACGATCTTTACTATTGGTATCACCCGAGACTGCTTGTAAGTGATTCAGAATGGGATAAAAGGGTGGCTGTTAATTCGATTGAATGCACGCGCGTACATTTGTTTGCTGTATGTGACGAAAGCTGATGCATGATCATCACGAAAATAATAGATACGCTCTGGCACTTGGTAACCAGCCCACGTACCCTGCCCTCGAAGCCCAGTGGGTCCAGGCTCTTGCTGTTTTGCTTTATGTCGCCGGTGGCACTTTGGTGCTCACGTCCATGTACGCTCTCGGCGTCACTGGCACCTATCTCGGTAATTTGGGAGGGTGTTGGCTAGTGTGTAAAATAATAATTGCGTCTTGCTCCGGAAGTTGCGCGCGATCAAAGGTGATCTGATTGATTGATTATTCCTTGCTATGTCACAGGTGATTACTTTGGCATTTTGATGGATGCGCGTGTTACTGGCTTCCCCTTCAATGTCTGCGAGAACCCCATGTATGTCGGCTCCACATTGAACTTCTTGGCTACTGCACTCTGGTATGTTTTCCCTTCTTTGCATCGAATACTATGAAACACAACACGCAAAGCTGACCCGGGTATTTTTAAACTTTTGCATTTCCGCGCACAATTTACCAGGCACGCAAGTCCCGCTGGTCTCTTGCTGACTGCTGTCGTCTATGTCGTCTACTTGGTCGCTCTTGAATTCGAAGGGTAAGTAAAATATATGCTGCGCTGTAGAAGATGGACCACTGAACAATACATTTCCACCCCGTAATAACGCGTGTTGATTTCTTTTACAGACCATTCACCACCATGATCTACTCCAAGAAGAACGAGAAGAAGGAATAAGCAGTTTGATCTTGCGCAGTTAACCCCCAACACTTTGTCAAAGACAACAAAAACATTAGATGTAAAAGAAAAGTTTCGCTGATATTATCATTTGCTATTATTAATAATATGAAAAGGAAAAAACAACAACAAGCCAAAGGGTCTCGGTCTCTCTGTGTGTGTGTGTGTGTGTAATGTGTGTGTTATGGTACAAGTGTTAATGCAGATCTTAGTCATGCTGTTGTTGCTGCTGCTGATGATCGTCAGTGAGTGGTGTCGTTGGTGTTGGTGTTGATGCTACTGCTGCTGTTTCATGGCTGCTCGGTTTGGTGACAGCGTCCGGTTCTTTGATCTCAGAGCGTGCTCGTTTGACGCGTTTTCGTCGTTGTAACGCGCCTTCATAGTTGACTATCGGAATCGTGATATCCATCAGATCATCTCTGGATCTTTCCGCCCGTCGCAAGAGCTGGTTCTCGGCTGACATCAGTCGTTTGAGATTTTCTTCGACAATGCGCGACTGTTGTGAATTCAATTCTCGTACGCGTTGTGGATCATCCGGCCGATGGATATATACCTGCATTACATTAGCTATTGTTATGGTGCATATTCGGTACATACTCCCTGTTTCTCTTTCTCTCTCTCTCTCATCACCATCCACCAGTAGCAAACTTACAGGTGTTTGCCGGAACGAATGCCTTGAAGGAAATTTAGGTAAGTGGTCTGGTACATATTCTGGTAGCTCAAATTGACTTGAGGCCCCTTTCTTTTCGCTGCTGTTATCATCGTCGTCTTCGTCTTCATCATTCTCGTCGTCCGATGCTAGGAATTGCACATTATTTTCTGATTTGTTGGGTTGTTCGGTTGCTGTTGGTATAGTCACTGAATATAAAATAAAACGATTATTATTCTAGCAGTGTCTCCCCCCACCCTCCTAATCAGTGAAAAAAAAACACATACAGAGATGTCTGTTTTGCCTAGATTGATTCATATAGTCGCTGAAACTGGAGAGTTGAATGCCAGATTCTTCCAGTGTACGTAGAATGTCGTGATAATTAGGTTTGGTTCTGCTGGCGAGTTCGGCATACTTGTGTGTTCTGGATAATAAATTCTCTAGGTCTGTATTATTAATGAGAATGCATAAGTATAAAACAGGTTCATTTGGAGGATAACAAGTGGTTTTTGTTGTAGTTTCTTTCTCACATAGTTCAAGCACGTTGCTTAGCTTTTCTAACGCGGATCGCTGTATTGATTCGAAGCCTGCTTCTCGTGTTATAAGTGATATTGCTTTACAGTTGGCGTCACGAGCAAAATCCGATTTAGAAAAGTGGGAATCTGGCATGTCTTGGTTGTGATTTTCTCTTGACGTTGTTTTTTTTTAATGTATGATTTCAAGAGTGAAGGAAAAGAAAGTTGTTCGGGCAGGAGCCTAGATAAATTTCTCTGTTTAAAAAATGAAGTCGCTGTTGTTCGTCCGGATTTATCTTGTTTTTTTTTATTACTACAAAACGAAAGGGGTGGGGGGGAAGTGAGAATTTGTCTATGAAATCATTTCTTCATTGTCTAGCTTTTCTTTGGTAATTAGTTGATCAAAATCAGAAATACGCCAGGACCAGTCGTTGATAGGCTCTCCATTCTCAGGGTCACGTCCGGAAACCATTTTATGTGCTGGTTCAAAGTAAGGCGTCTCGAACTGCACAAGCAGCGTCCGTCGGCCTTCGTCATACAAAAGCGTCTCGTCTCCACGAGTGATCTTGTACACCACGTCAGCATCCACTTCCACATCAACCTTAATGTGCACCCCTTCCATCAATCCCCGTGCAATACGGGCCCGGTAATCCTTGAATGACTCTTCTTCCGCGTCCACGCCAGAGTTCTTTAAGCACAACTTGAGCGTCATCCATTCAAGCACTTCATATTGTCGCGGGTGAGTAAATGCAGTGGAGTTTCCCAATGTGACCCAGACGTCCCCCAGGTTTGCGTCGTATATTTGTGGCAAATTGATGCTGATTTCTTCGTCGCCTGTCAGGCATTCTTTGGCGGCTCTAGTGTATCGGTCCAACAGGTCAATGCTCATCATGTTTTCGAGTTCGTCCTTTGTGCTGTCGTCTGGATGACTAAGGTGCTGTGACAAGACATTCAGTGCTCTGCGAGAAGCAAATGTCGCTATAGTAATTTGTTTAGATCTGCTATCCCTCTGTGTTGTGTAAGTTGCTGTTCTCTTAGGGGAAAAATATAACACAAACCTCCAAGCAGGAACTGTTCTGGGAAATATGAGGATCCCGTGTTCAAATGGACCGTGCGCGACGCGAGCCATACACTAAGTCTATGCTGCAAGCCAATAGGCAAGATATTCATCCAACCGAACGTTGCAGGGGCATGCACATAAGGGTACTTTTCGATCCGGGATGGTGAGCGATTCAGCAGCCATGCTATACATATAATGACGCATATATAAAATACGTGTGCGTGTTTGTATTAGTGGTCCGCGAAGAGAAGAAATTACGATAATGACGAGTCAGTTGGTGGAGATATTACGAAAGTCTTGTATGTTGGACTTGGTTTCTTGAAAGAAAGGTTTTGATTGCGAGAAATGCCGAATAGATTGCGTAGGACGTAGCCTGGTGAAGAGCCGTATAGAGTTATTAAGCATAACGTTTGTGCGAAACAGAAAAAGAAAAGCGCAAGGCTGCTGTCTTTTCCACATACAATGACTGGCGGGCTTTTTTTTTTTTGAGTTGCAAAAACTTCTTTTTAAGCAACCAGGTTTTTTTTTCTTATTCTTCACTTTCCACTACTGTTTATAAGCACCTAAAGCATGAGACAATTGAAATACCACGAACAAAAGCTTTTGAAGAAGGTCGACTTTCTTCAATGGAAGAAAGAAGACAATATTCGCGAAATCAAAGTGATTCGACGATACCATTTACAGCAACGAGAAGACTATCACAAGTAAAGATTACCCTTTTTTATTAATCGCAAACCTCGATCTCGATAACAGAAAAAAAAAGGAAAATATTAATTCACTGAGGATCCACCTATTTCTGTATATTAGATATAACAAACTTGCAGGAAACATCAAACAACTAGCCAACAAAATCTCGCTTTTGGATTCACGAGATCCATTCCGGACAGAACAAGAAAAGGCACTTCTCGACAAACTCTATTCCATGGGCATTATCACCTCGACCAGCAAATTTAGCGATTGTAACAAAGTCACCGTCTCTGCCTTTTGCCGGAGGCGACTGCCCATTGTCATGTGTCGTTTAAAGATGGCAGAAACAGTCAAAGAAGCAGTTACGTTTGTGGAACAAGGCCATGTTCGTGTTGGACCTCAAACGATCACAGACTCAGCTTTTCTCGTCACTCGAACAATGGAGGATTTCGTCACCTGGGTGGATACTTCCAAGATCAAGAGAAAGATCATGAAGTACAACGACAAGGTAATGTATTTGTGTTTTCTTCATGAGCTTTGGCACTGGATTGATGGAAAACTAGGAGAGTGTTGTCTCATTCTATTACTTCTTCATGGAAACTGATTAAAAAAATACTGTTTTCTGTAGTTGGATGATTTCGATCTGCTGTAAACGGAGGCTTTTTTATTTGCTTATTATTATATGTCTTTTTTAGACTATACTGTATCCATATATGTAGAAAAAAGTTCGGTATCCTTAATATCTTTAGTAGCCATTAGCGCTACAACCCGTGTATAATGTGTCATTGTGTTGAGTCCGTTCCAGTATATGTTGGGGAGGTATTGGCGTAGCTCAGTGGGGAAGCTCGGTGGCAAATCGATTTCGTGATATTGTACTGTGGTAGAGCAGGAATGAATGGAAGGAACGATGTATCAGAATAGGAAAAGGAACAAAAATTCTTACCGTTGGGATGAAACGTAGAAGTGCCATTGTTAACAATCTGCCCTATTGCAAGTGGGTTTCTGTTTGAGAAAATGATAGAGTTATCCAGTTAGTGTTAGTATATCAGGTGATGATAACGACTACAAGTAGATCTTCGCTACCTGAGTTCATCCGTTATCCAGGTAATATCACTCGTCTGAATAGCACCAGGCCAATTCTCACGATGGTATATGGATCGAAATATTCTAGCGGACAGTCCTGTGTGAGAGAAGCTGTATTAGTTCCAGCACTTGAGCTTATACATGGCCGAATGCAAAAGGTGACTTGCCTGTGCTTTTGCCATCAACAAATAAACCGTCGTAGCATCTTAGTATGTAGCTGTTGGCTATGCTGGCGAATAGCAGAGGCTCGAATGGCATATAAACGGTGCCTGGATATAAACAAACAATTTGCCCTGCCTGGCAACGACCACGCAATAACACGCCATTGCCTTGACAACCCAAACAGATTTTAGCAAAAGAGCCTGTCAAAAAAAAAGTCCGCATGATACTCAAGTTGTTTCCTTATATACCTGCTCCTTGGACCGAAGATACACACTTTTGTATTGAGAACCCTGCATGCTTTAGCAAATCCTCAGCTGGATCTTCCGATCGATGCACGATGCCAAGTAGCTTCTCTAATTGTGCTACTCCATCCACCGCTAATGGCATTGAATCCGAATGGAGAGGAGGTGATCGCATAGCTTTCCTCCAAAGTTTAAAAGACTGTAGCGGATACCTTGTTACAAAGGATTACGATATGTTCCCGGGTCAGTTGCCATCATCTCGTATAAAAGGAGTCATTATTCTTACAGTCGGTGTAGATAGTCTCGTAGACTCATTATAGCTTGTATGGGTAATGTTAGGCAACTGAACAAAGAAGCGGAGAAATGGGATACTACATATCTCGGATATGTTAATAATGTAAATTTTAATAGAACAAGAGATTCTTTTATTATACTGGTAGCAAAAATAGTATATGTGCTGAACAACAACAGAGAGAGATGGATAGGAAAGAGGATGGATGGAGATATGAAAAAACAGGTACAACTACATATGCGACTTTCGAGATTAAGGAAAGGGCATTATGGCGTTATGTTAGCTGCTACTAAGTGAGTGACTTAGAGCAAAGAGCCTTCCTTGCCGAGGATAGCCAACACCTGGTCGCACTGGACAATGTTGACGTTCTCAAGAACCGAGCAAACTTCCAACTTGACCGTGGCAGTGAGATTGTTGACAATGGGAGCAACGCCCAAACCCTTGAGAGTGTTGCCAACGAGAGCTTTGACTTCGTCCAAGGACAAGCCGCTGGGACCAAGAAGGGTGGCAACAAGTCCAGTAACGGGATCAAGGACGCCGCCATCACGCTTGAGGTTGAGGACAGAGGTGACTTGAGTGATGGAGATCTTGCTCAAGACTTTGGAAGTGATTTCACCGGTGGGGCACTGCTGCACCAAACCAACGACGACCTGGAGAACCGCGTCAACAGTGATCGTTATGCCCTTGTCGTTGAGAATGCCGGTGGCCTTGGTGACCAATTCAGTGAGGATATCCAAGTGGAGGATGCGGCCATCAATGGAAACAAGAAGACCGTCGACGGTGTTTCCGACAATGTTGAGGACGTTGAAAGCAGCAGAGTCCAAGCCTCGAACAAGAGTCCTTGGGTCGCAGGTCTTGGCGTTCTGGTTGACAATCTGGGTGACGCACTGGGTTAGCTGGATGTTGCTGAGGCTGAGAGGGCTGGAAGCAGTGCCGGCCAGGGCAGTAGAGCCAAGAGCAGAAGTGGCACCTTGGGCAGGAGCAGCGGGAGCAGCGTGAACAGTCATGGCAGCCATAAGAGCAGCAACGGTCAAGGTGAAGAAACGCATTGTAAGATGACGAGTTGTTAGAGAGAGATGAAGAAGGTTAAGTAAGAAGGCTGGGAGCTTTGCTTTAGTAAGGAATGGACTTGATTATGTGTAATGAGTGAAAAAAAAAAGATCTGGTCGAACTGCTCGTCTTTTATATCTTTTTTTTTCCTTTCACTATCTGCCCAAAAGGACGGTGAGCGAGGATAGCTTAATGCTCGGGCTCCACGACCTAATAAGTTTCAAGTATACTTGCCCGTCTGTTCTATCTCTCTCTTAGCGGAGGTAGATCTTTTCCCGACCCAAAGGTCAAGGGGTGTACTTCAAATGCACATAATATTAATCGCAAAACCCCCTAAGACCGGCCCATCCCGCCTTTGGTTGAAGCTTGCACATTTCGCGTAAGCCTGCTAAAAGAAATGTGCCTGCAAAATTTCTTTAATTAGAGACTTGTTTCATATTAAGCGGAGCAGCTCCACAACTAGCTAGATCGATAAAGAGGTGGCTCTTCTATTAGCCTTCTATTAACATGATCTACGCACAGTATCTGTGCTGTACATTTTCTTTAAAATAAGCACACAGAACCAATTTATCTTTTCGCTTGGCGGATGTGTCGCTTTTGTTTCATGATATATGTATGCGCACATGCAGACTTTACATTTCTATCAGCGTAATAAAGTATTATAAGTAGTAAATGAGCTTAAATTTCCGTAAACCTTACAATAATAAATTAGAGGGTTGTGGGGATATTTTACTTTATCTCAAATAATGTGGTGCACATAGCATGTTTGTTGCTGCTGCTGCTGCTGCTGTACATTTTCTTTTTCATTTCCGCTTAACTTAAACTTCCCATGATAGTGGTAAGGACCACCACTATATCGTATCAAGCGACAAAAACGCGTATTTCTCTCTACATACTCGCGGCATACTCTCGGTAATGGGTGAGTCTAGCAACATTCAGTGAAACTTGCTGGAGGCAAAACTTGTGTTCCGATCAAACCCCCTTGCGGCACTGACTTGCGGCACCCATCCCTAATCCACAGATATCCTCACCATTCCCGTTTATTAACGCATGGAAAATGCCTGTTGTAATGATTATGCGTATACGATTCTTTTATTCATTCACTCTCAAAAGCGCTATATGAGACATACGTATGTAAGCAACAAATCGTTATCCCATGAATTACATCAACGAATTCGGTACGAGATCAAAGGAAGAGGATCTAGATCTATATAGCTGCTGCAGCGTAATGCCACTTTAACTACGCTTGTAAACACCCACAAAAAGCAATTTTAAGAAAATTAAGACACATCACGTTGTAATAATAATAGCATTTCAACAAACAGTGATCTGCACCAATCACTTCTTGTTTTTGTGCCTTTTTTGAAATACAAATCGTACACGACGAATTATATATTGTTTGCGTCGTCCATGCGATTTATAACAAGCTGATCATCATGGAAGCAGATAAATGGCTAAATCCAGTGACGATAGTACTACAGAAAAAGCTATGGGTCACTATGAATATTTGTTTTTTCCTTTGTTAAGTCGCCGCTTCATATATGATAGTATGCACATTGGACAATGCAACTACTCTTTTCAGTACAACGATCTATGTGATCCGCAAAGTGTGTAACCAAATCAATGATGACCCCTTTAAATTTTAATTTCTCTTCAGCAGTTTACTACACATTTGAGATCGCTTACCCCATCCAATTTTCATTTCCTCGTCTACGTGCTACTTGCTCTGATGCTGTGCTTGACGCTAACCTATTTCCGTTTTCAAGTGCGTGTGTCCTTTCATTTATTTTATTTGTGTAATCCATGATGACATTGTATCATATATAATAATCCCGCCTCCTCCAGCGTAACGATATGTTACTGCTATACTGCATATGACTGCTGCATTATTAGAGCTACATACATGTATATTTGTTGTGATGTGTATGTGTCGAGTGTACAAAAGCAAGAATGTGATACAAGCAGCCCGGTCAGACTATGCATTCTCTTAATCATAGTATGATAGTGTGAGCGGATGTCAATGTTTGCTAAATTGACGAACAAGAAAATCTAGAGTATCCCATCCTTCTCGTCGGCCTTTTCGTTCGTCATATGCCAGCTAAGAATACCACCCCCGCCCGACCTCAACAGTCGAAAATTGGGTGTTGCGGTTGCCGAGCTTCAGGTCGTGATTATAACCGCAAATTAACCGCAACCTTCGAGTTCTAAATAAACAAGGAATCACTACTCATATTTCCCAATCATAGTCTAATCCCAAATCAAAATAACCATGCTACATCGCAACGACCAAACACTCATTGAGAAATTCGAGAAAGCTACAGAAGCACTTACGCAAGAAGAAGGAGCGATAAGTGACGAGGAAGCAAAGTGGATTGCAGAAGACGAGAACATTCAGTCAATTTTTTGCGAACATGATGAGGTGGCTGTTCAACTGAACGCGCTTTTGAACGAAATTGATCGTTTGAAGGCATTTCATTTGATGGACACCCCTTGCCCCAGTGATATTTCTTCTGCGGCCGTTGCACTTACTACTGATGCCACCGACAGTAACAGAGAAGCTACGATGATGGGTGAAGTCCGCGCTTTGAACAAGGCTATGGAGAAGGAGTATCAGGAACGCCTTGCTCGTATTGCCGAGAGGTACAACGCGCCTGTAGACGCTCTGAAGCACTTGAAACCAACATTCATTCGCAAAAATACTGGCGGGTTTTCTGGCTTCAACGTCTTTCAGAAACGCCCTTTTGATTCTGATGGTTATCATAGTTTATTATCTTCTATCTCTTATGTACAACTAAGAACGCTGAACACCCTCTTATGACGTGTGAAACTATGTTTTAGAAAAAGCAGAATTGAAAATTAACAAAAGATCAATCGGAAACATCCAGGCTCGCAGAGGAGCAATTTGAAGGGAGATGGATGAAGGTGCCCGGAAACCGTATGAAGACAAGGCACAAATGTTGAATGAGGAGATGATTGGTACGCAGAAGACCATGCGAAACAGGTACCATCGCCTCATACCTGCTCTTGAAAAAAATCTCACCATGCTGAGGGATGAATGTGGTGTAGAAAGCATTTGCTTTCTTGCACCAAGCAAAACGGACGGCGTCATCAAGCCTTATAGGGATGGCTATGGCTCTGGTAAATACAACTTCTTAAAGATATGTGAAGGATACCATCTAATTGAAACATTTGGTTGGCGGAGGCCATTTCTATAAGCTGATGCAACATGGTCAAGTCGAACTTACCAGCCGGTCGTTCATTGACGATTTCCAACATGAAATGATCACTTATAACCGAGGTACTCCTAAGACTGTATGACTTAAACTGCCACAATTCAGTACTTATGCTTTAGCTTATCAGCGCAAGTAGCACACAATGCCATTGATACGAATGTTGCCTCTGGTTCGTCTTTCGCTACACCAACGTCTTCTTCGACTACTACTGCCGCTACCACTATTATTCCCTCTACCACTACAACCACTGCCACGAATCACAGTGTGCCTGCGCCATCTCTTGTTGCAGCTGCTGATAGATCTATCTCCAAAAAAAATCAGCATCGTAACGAGAAAGATAATCGAGATACCATTTTTGGTCTATATAGTAAGTATTATCGTATGAATCAATACCAGGAGACATTTAATAATGTATCTGTCATCTTGCAAAACCTTAGGGCAAGCCGTACAGCAATTTTACGGCATTAATATCGATGACAATGCCAATATGCGCTGGAAGGATGAACGGATGTATGAGGATATTGTCATGGAAGGCTGGCCGGATATTCCGCGCGATCATCCTTCTCGTTTGTCTCGAAATGCGAAATTTGAGCTTGCTGAATGTTTGAACAACGTTCGATTCGTGCTAGCACCAAGACAGCAACAACAACAGCAGCAGGAATAAGGAAAATCCTTTTAAGATCACTTAAAATATATACTACATATTCACGACTGACAATCCGGATCAATAGTTTGCTTTGTCTATTGGTTTTACGTAGATGCCATGAAGGTTTTTGTGAGAGTATGGTATAACGGTAATAATTAGACTCCAATGCATGGCGTTTCTCTGGTAGGTTTAAATAGAAAATTAAGCGGTAAGCAATGGTATAATAGCAGTTAGCAAAAACTTCATCTAGTAGAATATGAGTTTATATTTTTAGCTTGTATATGTCTCGAGTGACATACTTTAATACCACAATTGTACTTGCAACTTCTTCATAAAGGATATTTGAGGCTATATACGTCCTGTGGTGAACCACATTAATACACTGCTTAAGATATCAACAATAAGATATTCGGTTAAACATTATAGCACACACGTATGAATACTACGGCATTTCGGCTAAACACTATTGAATAAAATCTCTCACTCAGATGATCCACCTTACGTGAACAGGACAATGAACCTATCAACAGGTACCTCGGCCATTACATCAGCTAACGCCGGTTTCAAAGATGTGCCCGATTAACATAGCGACTTCAATAGAAGTTCTGATACGTCCTTGATCCATCCTTTATCACATAGTTATCCATTAGTCGGATGAATTGATATCGCCGTCTTAATAGCTTGAATATAAAAGAGCTTTATCTTTTGTTGGAATAAAACATCATCTCAAAGATACTTAATCTTGTCCCTTATTATCTTTATTATAGCTCTATCATCACACGTCCTATCTATTTTGTGGGTTAATTTTACTATATGATAAGTAAAACGAGCAAAGAGACCGGGGTATCATAGCTATCTATGGTTATGGTACAACCTCAACTCTCTCATTGTTATAAGACATCGATATATTTCTGCTTGTCCTATGAGGATTTGAAGCGGCTTCATTTCCCTGCTGCGACTACTATGAAACAGCGGGTATGACTAGGAAAACACACTCATCTTCTGGTGAACAAATCACAGGAGCTGGGTTGGATTCTCAACTTGCGGAAATCCCACCTGACTCCCTCTCAACAGATCGAACATTTAAGGCTACAAGCTGGATACGACGACGATGACTGCTCAACTACCAGGGCACAAACTTCGGGATATCCGGCGCTCAATAATTAATCAAACACACATTTCAATCACCTCGCAGGGTTCACAGTCTGACTATGCGGCTCAAGGCAGCGACTATCGCTATCTTCCCTGTCCACCTTTACACCCAGGCGTTGATGCGGTACAAGAATTGCTTGGTCCGACGTCCGATGGATTGGGATATTCCTCATCAACTACCTCACGACTGTTTGACGCAGCTTCGTCTATGGCGCAAGGACCTTCTCTTGTGGTATGGCCGCTCTCTGTTGACACCGTCGCCGAGTCATACACTGTATGCCGATGCGAGCAACAAGGGCTGAGGAGCGGTCCTCAACAATCAGTCTGTCCAAGGTGTTTGGTCTTTCGCAGAAGCCGCTCAATCGATCAATTGGAGGGGATTACGAGCCATCCAGCTTGCTCTTCAGACATTTCGACATCTCACGCACACAACGATTCTAGTTCGCACCGACAACACGACCGCATCAGCCTACGTCAACAAGCAAGGGGGAACACGGTCTCTATCTTTCAGTCACTTGGCAACCGATCTGTGGGAGATGTGTCTCTCGCGTCGTCTACAGATCAAAGCTCAACATATACAAGGCATTCACAACGTAACGCCGATCAAGCCTCACGCAATCTATCAGCTCAGCAACAATGGCGCCTTCTTCCGGCGACTTTCCACCAGTTACAACTTCTTCAGGGGAATCACGACGTGGATCTCTTTGCGTGTCGAACGACGCACCTCCTGCCAAAGTATGTGGCACGTCACTTGGACCCCGGCGCAATAGCGGTAGACGCGATGGGTCTTTCTTGGAGTTGCTTTCGTCGCCACTGGATTCATCCCCCATGGTCGATGATTCTCAAGGTTCTATGCAAGATTGCCCGCGAAGGCGAGACAGCGACGGTAGTGGTGCCGTATTGGCCGGCGGCGCTTTGGTTTCTTCTGCTACGGCAAATGGCGACCCGTCCTCCTCTTCTTCTCAATCCTCGGCGTCACATCCAGCTGACTTCTCCATCCGCTCGCTCCCCATGAACAAATCTGCGCTGGAAGCTCAGCGTGTGGCAAGTATCCGGCGAAGATTTGCAGGGCGTGGCTATTCGCCCGCGCCTTTAGAGGCCATATGTGCCCCACTACTTTCTAGATCGTCGACGAATCTCTCTTATTTGGGTGGCCAACTACGTTTCGTCATGTGGGCCTCACGCGTCGGCGTTGATATCAACTCTTTTTCGGCAGTTGATTTGGTGAATATTTTGTCTTTGGCTCATCAACAAGGTTACAGTGCAAATACGATATTATTGTTCAAGACGGCGGTCCTGGTTTTTCATTGCAACCCTGGATCTATTCGAAAGGACCTTGGATTAAAACGCTTGCTAGATCGTATTAAGGTGACAGCACCACCACGACCATTGACTCATCCCTCCTTCGATATCACTCCTACCTTAATTCACTTGTCACAATTAACATCTACAGCGTCAACACCACTGATTAAGCTGAACCAGAAGACCGCCTTCTTGCTCGGTACCGCGGCCTTTCTGCGACCATCTGACCTTCATCGCATTGATTTGACGATGCTCAAGACCGATTGCATTTGTGCATTGTGAATCCTAAAGAACGCCGGCAAAATCGACGTTTCATCAAGACTCCCATCATCCATTCACTGACTTCGGATCCTGATCTTTGTCCGGTTCGCGCATTTCAAGCTTTGCGGGATCATCCGGGGGCTGCTGCTCGTCCAACTGGCGCGCACTTCGTCAACAGTGTCAATGTCTCTTCTCCTATTCAAGTTGCTACTATCTCGGGTTGGTTGCGACGGCTCTTGACGATATATCCTTCCGTCGATCCGGTCTGTCGCGGCGATTTTGGCATTGACAAGGGGCGCTTCTTTGGACGAAGTCCTGGCTGTGGGTAACTGGTCCTCACGTACGGTTTTCGACTATCACTATAGACGATCTTTGCAGCTTTCAGACAACATAGCGAGTCGCGTTCTGTCGATTCCGTCGGCTTCGTTACAATCATGACGGCTTGGACTTGGTTTGTTTCTTTGTTTCTTTTCTACTTCCCCTGTTTTTTGGGTTCTCTCTTTTGTCTCTTCTATTTGTTTTTTGTATTGCTGCGTCTGTGTTAGATCAGCACTTGATGAGTTCTGGTTCGCTTCCGTAGGAATCGTTCAATTGTTCTAGATTTATTGTAGAACAATTGTGAGGCTAGTCCTACGGACCTAGCCTCACAATTGTGCTCTGTTACAAGAAAAAAAGTATTTATGGAGATAGCCATGTTTCAGTGTTAGTTTGTGAATGCTATTTACAGTATGATCATGATAGGATATGTTGTTCTTCATATAAAGATATATATATACAGATCTTGGAATTTTTGAGCATGTATACTACTTGGATACTTTTTATTTTTTGTTGTTAACGGTAAGACATGGGGGTAACTCAATTGTTGTCGCTTTCTTATTTAGACATACAATATCTGGTTCAGTGTTTGTTTTCGAGTTTTGTTGCTCTTCCATCTTTTTCAAAACGTTTTTAGCAATTATCTAGTATGATCATAAAGTTAATAATGGTGAATAAATTATAAGAATGTGACTTGAGCACGAACCTTGGTTTTCAAAGCAAGTTTCATTATCGGGAATAGTTGTGCTGAGGTAAGATGTGGGATTGTTGGGATTTCGAAATTATTTGTGTTTAACAGCCGGCAAACATATCCACCTGGAGAGTCAAGAATAGATACTTGCAAACGGGTGTCTAAAATGTCAATCAATAGATATTTCGTTTGTAAGTTCGCAGTGATGACAATTGCTACAAAGCAGAAGTAAGAACTTACTGTTTTCGTTGATGGCTGTAACTTTAATGACTCGAGCAAGAGAACTCTCACCATATCCCTTTGCTAATATTCTTACAAGAATATCTTTCATAATCTTTGGTGTATGCAAATGTTTTTCCACCATCTCTTTTTTTCCGATACTGCCAGCATCCTCTTTACCACATTCGCCAACAGCAATATCAAGATTATTGTGTATCAGCAAGAAGTCGGGGCGAACTGACGACTGCTTATCCGCAATCGAGTTCAATCCAGTTATTGCCCTATTGTTGTTTACTCGAACTAACGTGGAAACACATGCTCGGTCCCTTTTTTGAGTCGTTAATAGAGCACGTATAACCAGATATATAATGCAAAATAAAGTAAAGTAAAATAAAAAAACCCACCTAGCAGCGATAGCGATATTCTCATAGCACCGGTCCAAGTTGACTCAGCAACGAGCTACAAAATCCATCTCACTGCCATTTGCAACGATATCTCTTAAGGTGTCGTTGCGATACATGTTGAGGAAATCGAGAATTATTCTTTGTACCCAATCTTCGTCAAAGTGAGTTCGAGGGTTAAAAAAGCCCAACTCAGTCACTGCCTTCCAGATGGTGTCAATGATATCGTCGCTCTTTCTCTCTGAATTCTCGCCATCAACAGTTGCAAGCGCCTTTTCACAGTGATCAAAAATGGATCGAACGCCATCACCAATTGCCAGAAGGCCTGGATCAGTTGCATCAATGATTCTTTTTAACTCTTCCTCTGTTAGTCGACCTTTCCAGCATGAATCTGTTGGATCGAGAATAAAAGAATGAACGAGGCTACAGATACGATGATATGAAAGTTAGTCATAGTAAATATACATGTGCAAATACATATATAACTCACTGTTCAAATTCATATTCGGTTCCAAATTCATACATGGAAAACAATCTTGTTTGCATTAAATGACCAAATTTCAGCTATTCATTTTATTTTCAAATAAATCCATATAATTATCAATAATTGCTGTATCATCAAGATCTTCTTGCCAAATCCATTCATTATGTGAATCATCATAATCTTTCTATTTAACATAATATTTCATTCGTTTTTTAAATTTTCTATGTTTTATAATTCTTCCAACTTCAAAACTATCATCATCTGTATAATTATCATTTTCTATATCCATATTAATTATTGGTAATTCATTGCTATGATTATCATCAAAGTAGTTTCAAATAAATGCATCTTGTTGATTAGTCATATCTGTAATTCTTAATATATCAAATTCATATATAATGCTATTTATATTATTATTTCTATTAGGATTAGGATAATCAAAGTTTTCATTAACCCATAACAGATGATTTGGTTTATTAGGTATATTATATAACTGACAAAACTTTTGAATATTTAATAATAGAAGTGATAATTTTATTTGTACATTATATATTTTTAAATCTGTAACTTTTATAGTACTTTCATTATTATTAAACCTTTTGAATTTATTGCTAAGAAATCTAAGACATGATTCTATTTTACTTCTAAAACTTCCAAAAGTTTCATTGTATAGTAATTCATTATCATTTAAGTCTATATTTTTACTTTTTCTAATAGGAAACATAAAATTATTAAGATTTATTTTATCATTTCCTTTTCTATCGCAATTATCTATAGATTTTTTAATATAGTAGTAGTAACCACCATCAAATGCTATGCAATCATTTTCATTTAATTTATTTTCCAACTTCATATCTAAAAACATTTGCCCATCATTATAATTTCTGCATGGTTTACTATTAGATACATTAACTGCAAATTCATTAATATCATATGGTGCAAGCACCTTATAATCCGCAAATTTATGGGTAATCTTTGAATCCCTACTACTTTTTAATGTCACCTTAAAATAAAAAAAGAAGCGGCTACTTATGTTTTTTAGACCTTTAAAAACAATATTTGTGGATTAGATTTGAGTTCTTGCTTCTTTAAAAAAAGTTATAGGCTTCTGAAGTTGGTCACTTTTGGCAGAGGGATAGCAAATTGAAACATATAGGATTATACTTAAGCAAGCGGAAATCAAGTTTAGCCTTATGGGTAACATATTTAAGCGGTCCAAAGCCACTTACGACTGGCTACTAACTTAGGTTCATGTTTGCTTTGCCTTCTCATGCGTATTCCACACAATTTCTCCATTATACCTCGTCCTAAAGATCAAAAGAAAGCTGCTAAAAAGCACAATTGAACAGAAATCGGTAACTTCGTCACTATAATGGAGCAATTGCAGCTGCATATGAG